AATGTCACTAATATAGCTCTATAAACCGTAAACCGAAGAAATTTTTAAATTTTTTGAAGCCATTTATATGTAAAATTGCCCCGTTAATCCGAATTTTTATAAACTGAAGATTGATCTTTATAAACCGAAGTGAAATAAAAATTGGACCAATAATAATAATATACAAGTTATACAAATACATATGTAAAAAATTATCATGGAAATAGCAAATAATAATCATAGACCTTCCTCTAGTGCAAACAAGAGGAAAAAAAAAAAAAAACTACTGAAAAAGAAGTTGGGGTATCAAAAAGAAAACATATGCCTATAACAATCTCACAAAAAATAGAAATATGCATTGAAAAAAATAAAGACCCAAACATAAAAAATAACCAGCTTGCATTTAAATACAATGCCAGTGAATCTACTGTTTCTGATATTCTAAAAAAGAGTGATTATTTTTTATCATTGAATCCAAATCAATTCACTGCAAATTCATATCACGAGAGATCAACAAAATATCCAGAAATTGAACAATCATTAGCACTCTGGATTGATCAGGCAGCAAGTGATAATTGTACTTTATCTGGGCATATTGTTATTTCAAAAGCTAAAGTTTTTGCCCAACATTTTCAGATAAATGACTTCAAAAGATCAAATGGGTGGTTTGATAGATTTAAAAGACGATACAATATTTCTGAACATGTTCGTTGTGGTGAGGCAAATTCCGCACCTTTGGAAGAATTGTCACAATATTGTGATAATCTCAAAAATCTTCTTAGTCAATGGAATCTTGATGATGTATACAATTGTGACGAAACTGCACTTTACTGGAAGCTAGAACCTTCCAAAACTCTTGCTAGTGGACCACTTTCAGGCACTAAAAGACCAAAGGACCGAGTTACTGTTTTACTTACCTGTAATGCTACAGGAACATCCAAATTAACACCTCTTTTCATTCATAAGTATAAAGACCCTAGATGTTTAAGAAATATTGATAAGAAAACTTTGCCTGTTTTTTATTATTGGAATTCGTGTGCCTGGATGCAATCATCTGTGTTTTATCATTGGCTTACAAAATTAAATGAAGATATGAGAAAAGCAAGACGTCACATTTTGCTTCTACTAGATAATGCTACATCGCATTCATTGGAAGAAGGCATTTCTCTTTCTAATATTACATTACACTATTTCCCTCCAAATACAACATCCCATCTCCAGCCTTGTGACGGTGGAATAATACATTCCTTTAAATCAAAATATCGGCGGATTTTATGTCAAAACAGAATTGATGCATATGACAATAAGATTAATCAACAAATACCTGTACCAAAACTTACAATATTTGATGCTATTTCTTTTACTGCAGAAGCATGGAACCTTGTTTCGCCTAGTAAGATAATGCTACATCGCATTCATTGGAAGAAGGCATTTCTCTTTCTAATATTACATTACACTATTTCCCTCCAAATACAACATCCCATCTCCAGCCTTGTGATGGTGGAATAATACATTCCTTTAAATCAAAATATCGGTGGATTTTATGTCAAAACAGAATTGATGCATATGACAATAAGATTAATCAACAAATACCTGTACCAAAACTTACAATATTTGATGCTATTTCTTTTACTGCAGAAGCATGGAACCTTGTTTCGCCTAGTACAATTGTTTCATGCTGGTCTAAAGTTGATATCCTTCCTTCTTCGGAAAATATTGAAGATTATTTAATTTTACCATCTGATGATGATACAGATTCAATCCAAGAAATGATTGGTTGTTTTAATTTTGATGATCCATTATCTGCTAATGACTACATAGAAATAGATTTGAGATTGCAAAATCAGGATAAATTAGCTGATCAAGAAATCATTGAACTAGTTAAAGGGAAGGAAGCGATTGAAGAAGAAGAAGAAGATAACCAATTTCAAGTTTCTGAAGATAAAATAACTATGGATCAGGCTATGGAATCAATTGAAAGGCTCCAATTTTTTCTAATGCAAGAAGAAAGAGGAATGGGTATTAGTGAGAGTTTCCTGCGTGAATTAAACAAATTTAAAAGAGAATTAAAGAAAGAAATTTTTGTGTCAATGGCTCAAACAGAAATTGATACATATTTTAGTTAAATGATTTTGTAAATTATGATTTATTATTAATAATAAATGGATAAAGGAAATTCTAAATTTTTAAATTTACTACCCCGTTTATCCGAATTAATTTATGACTCTAATAATAACTTCGGATTACAAAAAAACCCCATTAATCCGAAACCCCGTTAATCCGAAGAAAAGTCCCTGCACAATTGCCTTCGGTTTAACGGGGTTGCCTATGTATATCAAAAATATCGTCTAATTTTCTCTTTAACGTATTAATATTATAGATCCAATTATTTGTCATAATTTTCACCTTCCTAATCTTGTGGGATATTCTTCTTTCTGCGTACCTTAACAGATTATTTGGACCTTGGATTTCTTTAATTTCTCCCACAGTAAAAATATTGTATAAATGGAGAATGTGCTAGACTGGAATATAAACAAAAAAAGTAAATCCAAATACAAATTTCATAATCAACAAATTTTTTACATATAGTGAATCTTTGACGCCGTTTTTTTTCCTATGTTTTCAGACCCTTGATTTCATAAAAATAGTAATAATAAATTTATTATAACCAATTCAAAGTCCTACTTCAATTGTTATTGAACTCTTGATTTTTTTTCAATTGTTGTCCTTTGTCAAGAATTTTATCGCCTATATTTTCACTTACCGCTTCATTTCCAAAACCAGAGAGTTTTGACTTTGACTCTTGACATGTAACTTTAATTTTAGTTTTGACTTTCACCTCTTCAAAATAGTTTTGGAGACCAACGCTACGCTCCATAGATATCTAATTTTTTAAATTTTTTTTTAAAGAGAGTACTAAAAATAAAACACCGTCACTTTTCCTTCACAATTGAAAATGTAAAGTCACTAGAAACTGTTTATACTAGGTTCCATCAAGCTTAAGATACATTGAGAGCAACTAAAAGCAGCACAACGGTCAATGATAATGTCACAAATTATGAAGGAGTTAAAGAGAATTTGGTTGATCAGATTACACCAAATGGTTTCGTTCGTTTGTTAGTTAATTGAATTATTACATTATAATTAAGAGTAAATTAATTAATGTACGATCCTATATTTTAAATGATAGGAATAGACATCTTTAATATATTAATATTTGAGAAATAATAATCAGGACAGTAATAGTGAGTGGTGTAATAATTCGCTAATGATACTATTATTAATTCGTAATCCTTTTAAGCCTTGGCAGAATATCAAGAAAAAAGATTTATGCGTGGTCTATTTGTCAACATATAGTTGTATATTTATAGACTACTACTACTAATGCACGCGAACAATAAAAATAAAATCAAATAGATTGTTTATCCTTCCATATTTACCATATAGATGATGAGGATATGGACTTTGACTGGATGCAAAGCTCCAAGTGTATATACCATCCAAAACATCGGTCATCATCATTTTGTGTACGCGAATAAAAAAACCACTTTTAAAAAATCAAATCTCTTATAAATTAGATACAATAGATTCAAAACTTTTAAATCATTGAAAAACAAGCAACATTATTACATTTATTATTATCATCTGGCGGGTTTTTTGTTGGCCCATGTGAAAAGGTTTGACTGTAGTATTTGCATCAAAAATTTAAACCGAATTAAATTTCAACTACACTTGGCAATTTATATAAGGAAAAACTTCCAAATCAATATTCTTTACGTTTTTTTTCTGGTTGATGGAATAATCTAAAGCCCATTCATTATGAAATAACGAATACACAAGTCTAAGGTAAAAGGTTGGTTTGTTTGTAAAATAATGATTACATTGACCTTGATAAGGATGAAGTAAATATGCAATAAATGACAAAAGGTACAAGTTTCTTAAGATCTTTGATTTTTAATTAAAAGCTTCTCATGATTTCATGTAGTTTGATTTTTATTTCAATAACTATTCTATTGTATGTATCATCATCCTTGATCCAGGCATTCTACAAATTATGATTTTGTGAATTCAGTTTGGGATAATGATAACAATTATGAAACGTGTAATCTCCATCTTTAATGGTGAGTTTTACTTTTTTTGTTAGTTGTAACAAATAACATCATTTTGCTAGTGCTGCCAGATGACCCATTTTTCTAATAAAATTTTCAATATTTTCTCAATGCAGTTAATTAGTAGCTGAGGTTTTTTAGAACAAATTTAGAGCATAAAGCTATATTCGATGTTTGCGTAATGCTCTTTTTCTCTGGCATTATACTACCAATTTTTTTGTATTCTCGATAATGACCTCTTTGATGATTATAATTTACTTACATTTGATGAAACCAAGGATGCTAAAGTAGATGATGACAACTCTGAGGATTCGCTGAAAAATAAATAGACATGAAAAGGTAAAATTTTGTTAATCTTTGTGGATTCATTATATATATGTTTTTTGAAAACTAAAATGACGAGTTTAGATCAATGATCGCCACTATCATTTTTTTTCTTTTAGAAAAAGCTTTTAAAATTTCTCCTTCCCAACGATACTTGCTCATGATTCCGGTTTTTCTTCTCCTAACTGTTTTGTTTGTCAACACTTTTAAAGAAAAAAGTCAATCAATCACTTTTCTTTTCACGTGTTTCACCCATTACAACTATAATTGTATCGTGTCGATGTGTAACTTTCTTATAATAAATATGAATCCTATTCAAGGATTCCAATTCCTTGCTACATTTGTCATGTGGCATCTAATATTTAAACATTTTTTATCGCTGATCATAGTGATATTAATGTGGTAAAAGCAAAAATTTTCTTAATTAAATTTTTACACTACGCCTTTGATGTGGTAAACAACTCTGGATGTCTTAAATTGATGAAACGAAAATGCTTTTTTTATGATACGTAAAGATACTCATTGATATATAAATGAAAGCTATTAGTGTGATTGTTTAATTTATCTCTTGTAATATAACCCTGGCCCATTTATAGCGACAGTATTTGATAGATGTACAATGTCTCTGTGTTATAATGGGTGTTCTATTTTTTTAAAAACTAAACCCATATAAAATTATTCATGCTGCATACTTATGAATAACGGTGGCAAGATCATGCTTATTCAATTACAAGTACGATGTTGAACGACGCTATCACTTTTTAAATTATCAATGTCATGACTTCTTTTTTTACATTTAAAAAATATTCTGTGCGCTTAATTTATGTAAGAAATAACTTCACTCACTACCTTTCCTGTTCTTTTTTAACAGTATGCTCCGCAGAAAACATGTTTTTTTTATCCTTGTCCGGATATTAGGATTTGCATTATTCCATACAATTCTTATGCCATTTGTTACATATATATACTTGTGTCATAGACAGACGCGTCTTTCGATAATGTCTGTAGTTCTATAAACTTGATTTTTAACTTTTACATTAATTTCATTCATCGTGATATTTGTAAATTTTTTAATGGATACTAATCAATTGTAAATTGTCTATTATGTTATATTTGTCTACTAACAAAGCGATACATATATATATAAATCGACTAAACTAAGCCATTGATCTCTGGTAAGAGCTTTCTTCAAAATTGTATTGATATTATGAGCTGTAAAATAATACTTCCTTTATAAATTTGCATCTAAATAAAAAAGAAAGGTTTATTTTTCAAAAAATTTTTATCAATTATAATAATTTTATAATAATAATAATCTGTCATTCGCGGATCACACCAATTGAATAAATTTTTCCCAATTTTCCCAAATTGATTATTTTAAAAAGATGTTATTCCAACAACCTGAAGAAGAAGAACTTCAAATCGAAAATAAATACATAAAGGGCAAAAAAATCGGCGAAGGAACTTATGCTAAAGTGTATCAAGGTATAGAAAATTATAACTCCTTTTAGAGCGTATTATTTGTGAATAAATAAATCAAACATCAACTGTTATAGTTTAGGTATCGAGCGCGAGACTGGTCGAACAGTTGCTATCAAAAAAATAAAACTTGTTCAAACTGAAATTGGAATTCAAGGCATAGAAATGTCGGCTGTAAAAGAAATAAAAATGTTGAGAGAATTAAAACATATTAACATAATCGAGGTGTCATAGCTTGTTTAACATGATTGATGTCATTTATGACTAGTAAAATAATGAATGATGTAAAAATAATTTTTAATAATAATTCAAAATTTTTAGTTGATTGATATTTATTCACATAAAGCAAGTTTGAAACTTATCTTGGAATATTTGGATTCTGATTTGGAGATGATAATAAAAGATCGGTCACTTGTGTTCATTCCAGGAGACATAAAAAGTTGGATCTTGATGACTTTAAGAGGATTAGACCATTGCCATCGTAATTGGATTTTACATCGGGTAATTTGTTTCAAAAATAAAATTTTATTTTTATTAATAATAATAATAATAATAACTAAAAATGTCAATTTTAAAATTATATATTTATCATTATAAAATAATAATAAAAAAAGGACATGAAACCAAACAATCTATTGGTTGGTAAGGATGGTCAATTGAAACTTGCTGATTTTGGTTTGGCAAGAGATTTTGCTAGTCCTCAAATCAAAAATATGTCACCTCAAGTTGTTACTAGGTATGATCATTAAAAAACAAATATCTATACTTTGGGGGGAGGGTTCATTAACAATAGTACTAAACATAATTTATTAATTACAATGATTAAAAGATGGTATCGAGCTCCTGAATTATTTTTTTCTTCAACATTATACGCATATGGTGTTGACATATGGTCGGTTGGTTGTATATTTGCAGAATTGATGTTACGTACACCTTATTTACCTGGTGATACTGACATTGGACAACTTGAAATTATTTTTAAAGCTCTAGGAACTCCATCTGAAGAAGATTGGCCGGTTTGTCTTTATGATTTATGATATTAAAAAGCATTTCTTTTGATATAATAATTCAATATAAAAAATTTTCTTAGGGATTTAATGAATTAGCTGGTAATTTAAAGTTTCAAAAATATACAAGAACACCACTGAAACAACTTTTCACAGCTGCTAGTAACGATGCAATAGATTTATTGGAAAAAATGTTAACTTACGATCCAAATAAAAGACTTACAACACGAGAGGTTAGATATTATCAATTAATCAATCATTCAATGGGCCAAGGTTGCTTTTTGAAATACAAATTCATTTATGTAAAAAAAATTTACATGTAATATTTATAATTTTCAGGCTTTGTTTCATCCTTACTTTCTTTCAAGTCCAAAACCAACACCGCCTGAAAAATTACCAAAACATCAAAAGAATTTATCGTCAACATCACCACCACAAGAGGATCTACCAAAAGAAGGAATTGAAAATTAAAAACTTGAAAAAAAATTTACATTAAAAAAATATATAAACATATTTTTTAGGCTTGTTTGGATTTTATTAATTTAATAATTTCTTCTAAACTATTCTCAATCTTGGTAATTCTATTTGAAACATCAGTTTCAAATTTTTTCATTTCATTAACTTCATTTTGTAATGATGAAAGTGGTGTAGATGATAATGGTGATTCTCTTCCCAATAATAAAAATTCATTGCTACTACTACAATGGTCTTTGCGGTTACTAAGGATATGATTGAATTCAATATCAATAATTTTAAAGGCTTTTAATCCATATTTAAAAGTTCCACCAAGATTAATATTAAATTTTCTATAATCAAAACTATCAAAATCGCTACTAGTTGCTGTACTAGCTTCACTTTCCATTCTAAGTAATGACTTTTCATCAACAATTAACTTGTTCTTATCACCACCACCACCATTGTTACCAGTCCAATCATCATAAATATCGTCATCATCGTCATTATCATCAATAAATTCATCGTATTCAATATCATATAAATTTAAAGTATCGTCAGGTTTAACCAATGATTTAAATTTCTTGCGAAACTTTTCACTTTTAAATACCCATTCTTCCAAGTCATCGGCTCTGCCGACATAATAAACGAAACGAGGATTTCCTCTAGTATTACCAAATGGTTTTTCTATTGTCTCATAATCGGATAATAAATCTGCTCTGATTTTTAAAGTTTTTTGTTTTACGTTATTGTTGGCATCTTCAAATACACCTCTATAAAAATAATAATCATTATTTACTGCTTTTGAAAAATTGCAATTACACAATTATTTGTTTTTGTATACTTACGTCATGAATGCAATTAATAAATTTTGCATCACTATTACCAATAACACACTTGCAACTAAATTAAATAGAAATATTTAATATTAGTAAACAACCCAAATAAAATAAATAAATAACCAGAGGGGCTAGGAAATAGAATCATCATCATCATCATTGTTATTATTTACTCACGTATAGACAACACATCAACTGGCCAAAAATCCCAGTGTTCTACTTGATCCCACCTACCCGTGGGCCAAAAATAAACAACTTCCACAGATTTAAAAAATGAAACGAAAAAGTTGTCACTTTCATCAAGTTCATTAAAGTCTTGTTGAATGGTAATATTTGAGAAAGGGCCATCAAGTGCTCCTGACTTATCACGAAAATTAAAAGTATTACGAGTTGCACTCATACCAAAGTCTTTTACATTCCTTAATAATATGTGCCTTTAAAAAATATATTATATATAAATTTATTATTTTGAATAATTTTAATTTTTGAAAAAATAAAACGTAATGTCAATAACTTACATTGCATGGCCGAATCCAAAAACCACAATCAGCATGAAAACCAAAAATGGCCAAATACTTTTTACTATATCAATTATAAGATTGATAAAATATGCAGGGCGTGAAAAAAATCTTAATAATAATAACTGTTTAGAAAATTTGAAAAAAATTATTAGTGCTGTTATTATTATTATTATTAATCATAAATATTTTTAAATAAAATTTACTTACAAATTCCAACCACAAAATTAACACAACAAACGAACTGACAATTGCTATTGTTTTAGAGACACCATGATTATCATTATCCGATAAAAATTGAAACATATCTCCAACAAGACTAGAATTATTTCCATATATAAAGTTAAGTGAATCTGTATATTTTTTAATATTAACAACATAATTTCCAAATACTGCAAGAAATGGCAACACGACTGATATAGCATCAATAAAATTATAAAAATTCAAATATCTTTTGATTTTATCTTGTTTAACCTGTATTATTTCTATTGCTAACAAGTAATAACTAAGATATGCAGTCAAAGCTAAAAGAATGGAGCTCGCCTTTGGATCATATACCTCATTTAAGTAATCAATTGCAGAATCTGACGTAGGAGTATTATTTTCTTCGCCCGAGTAAGGAATAGCAATCAAACCAAGTAGAAGTGATATCATGAGTGCATAGAACAAATAATGGATTAAATGTCTGATATAATAATGCTTTGCTGATGAGAATTTGAATTTGATACAAGCTTCCAATGATGGATTGTTATACATCAACTCATTTCTTTTTTGTCTGAGCACTTTTAAGAATGGACTGCGATCTGATTCTTCTTTTATAACATACTCACGTGGCCAAAAAATTAATTTCAATAGTCGTTTGATTAATTTTGTCGGGTGCAATTGTTCATCTTTTATACCATTTGGGTATACAAGGAAATCTGGTAATGGAACAATACGAACGCTTGTTGATTTTGCCATCTCATTATCATCTTCCATATACTTGCCAATTTCAGATTTTCTAAAACATGTTTAGAAAAAAACAAATTACACACTGTTAATAATATTATTAAAATAACAATAAAGATTATTTTCATAATTTTCATAATTTTTTTATTTACCTATAAAATAAGTAATGAAAAAATGGAGGATTTTTGGTGGCTTTTTGAAGTAACCTTGGTTTAGCAGTTAATGGAACAACACTTTCTTTTTCACCTTTCATTAATTCAAGTGTATCAATAAAACATCGATCTATCAAAACTTCTTTTGTTCCAAAACATGGTTTATGCAATAATCCTTTGAGATAGATTTCTTAAAATGAAACAACAAATAAAAAAAATCAATTAATCAATTAATCAATAAATGACCCCTCCCCCCAAAAAAAAATATCAAAAATACAAACCTAAATTACAATTTAATAATAATGGAATTGCTTTAGCTACAGTAAACATCCATCCAACATTTTCCATTGCATGATTAGAATAATATTCTAATAAAAATCCAACTATGGCAGTATCTTTATGAGCTTTTCCTAATAATAATAATAATAAAATTAATCATTATTATTGTTAGAAACATATGATCTATTTAATAATTATAAATTATAATAATACATCTTCTAAAGTAAATAAATACCTTTAGTATAATTAATTGCTAATTCCAAATCAGTGATATTTCTCTGTTTTGGCCATCTATATAAACGTGGTGTATGCAAATAGTATTTATTATTTTTTAAGGCTGGCTTATTATAATCCAAATCATTATCATTGAATAAGATTTTCTTGATCAAAGAATTATTATGACCTCTAATCAAATTAGCCATGATATCATGACGAATATCATTCAGCCTCCATAAACTTGGTGATTTTTTGAAACATCTATAAGCAAGTTTTTCAGTATTATAGAATATATCTTCAAATCTTTGATGATTCTTTGGGCCAATGCATAGATTTCTATGAGTATAAAGAAACTCAAGTGCTTCGCAAGCATCTTTTATTGTGTTTGGATTGTTTGGATAATAAATAAGATGCTGACTAGTATTGGTCGGTGAGTTGAGTGAACATAACGAGATTTTCAAAGAAAATTTATTTTTGCCAATTGAAATTGATTCCATGTCAAATCCTCCAAGTGATGTCCAAATATATTTCAATACTCTTTTTTTTGTTTCCTTTGCTTTTGTGATTTTTATTTGCCAAACCTGAATTGTCGTTCTTCCGATGATAAGTTGAGTTGTTCTCTCGTCATTTAGAAATACAGAAATTCTCTTGTATTTTTTCTTGTTATTCCAAGGTTCTGTATTGTTAATTATTAAAACACCTTTATTCTCTTTTATATTGCTAAAACTTTTATTAAAATTATAAATCATATGATAATCTTCATTGTCATTATTGTTGTTGATTTGAAGCTGCGTCATATCATCAAAATAAGTTTGTAACATTTCATTACTTTTCAAGATGTGAGATACATCAGGATGATCCAACAAGGAAAACAAATTACCATTGTCATCTAAAGAATAAATTCTGCCAAAACTAGAAGTGAAAAAATTTTTATCATTTGCGTTCGTTAAACACGTTAAACTCGAATCCTTATCAGTATCAAATGTTTGGTAAAAGTTATTGGTACCAAAAATATCCCAAATTATAATCGTAGTAATAAATTTTGTTTTATCTTTGCCATCTTCATAATTTTGTGCAACAACAAATAATTTAGTGTCATCGTCAATAAATGTTATAAACAAAATTCTGAAAATTTGTGGGAAAAGTTTTGTAGCAATTTCTAACCCATTTTCGGCCAAATATAAAGTGATAACATTTGAATTAGAACAATGTGCAATCATATTCTCATATTTTGATAAAGAGAATATTGATTCGTTTCCTAATAGATAATTGGACCAAAGTCTTGAATCGGTGGTGGTGGAGGTGGAGAAAGCAGCAGCAGTGTTTGATGACAAAAGTGCTGATGCTTTGGTGATTGGAACACGTTTTTGTAACGATATTTCTAGGTCTCCAGTATGCAAATTATAAACATCAACTTTTTGAGCTCGATAATCTTCCGAGAAAAAATAGTTCTTATCAACACAACTTTCCACATACTTTGTACAAGGTTCATCTTGAAATAATTTTTTAATATTGAGATGAACAGTTGGAGGAAATAAAAATTCTTTACGTGATTTGTAATCGACATCGTACAAGTTCATGATGCACTTTGGAATTTTATATTGGAGTTGTGGATAAATAATTGATTTATATATCCCCGAGGAATTCATCAATATCAACTCTAATTCAAGATTTGAATCTGAGTCTTTATTTGGACGAGACGAATGTGGCGAAGCAACATTATCTAAAAATCTTACAATGCCACCGATATTGTCAATAGTTGTTTGGATTTGTTTTTTATAGACAGCAGAAAATACCCAAGTTCTCGGCCTAATCAAGTCTCCAAAATCATTTCCGTTACCTTTTTCATAATCATTTGTGACGGATGAAGAGTAGAATTCGGTGGTGGATGACTTCATGACTTCGTCTTCGAAACACGATAGAGCAATTAATACATCGTCATTACTATCGCCGAGTTTTACGTTATTTGAGACTGTTAAAGACCACCATAGGTTCTGTTGCAATTTTAATTCTTTTTGAATATTATTATTGATCGGAAAAGTCTTTGTAATATTTTCTGTCTTGTAATATTCCAACTCGAACGTATCTGTGATTGTGTGTAATAAATACAATTATATTAATGAAAATATCTAATGATTCTGAAATCTTAATCATCAATTTTTTTACCAGAATTAAATCTTGCAACGAATTCACCGTCATGACTTGCCGCAATGTATTGGCAATCTGGATGATTGTCGACATAAGGATATTTTTTATTTTTTGGATGCCTTCGTTGTGATAAACCATTATAAATAGAACTTTGTCGCGAATAAATTGATTCATTATCTGCTACATGTTTAAAATTTTGAGTGTGCAGCTTCAATTCATCCTTTTCGTCTTCAATCGATCCCATATTGATCAATAGGTTAAAAGTTTTCTCCGCTAACAAAAAAGGGGGAAAAAATAATAATAATACAAATCAATTGTATTTATATCTAAAAAAATAACACGACTGATCCTATTTTAATTCCTTGTTTTGAAATTTTTACAAATAAAATTATAATTTTAACAAATCGAGAAAAAAACGTTTAACAACAATTAATTATATTAATATGCAGGTTATCATTGTGTGTTAGAAAATAAATTACTCTGATATAAATTTGGATTTCATTTAAGCCATCTCTGCATTTAAGGAGTTTAGAATGAAAAAACAATTTTCAAAATATTTATTTATGCACTTGGACAGATCGTCTACCGAAATCCTCAAAATGGTAATCACTTTGGCCATTTGATAGATGATCCCGGCTAAAGAATGCCAGCCATGGAATTAAGGTTTCGTTCTATGTCATACAAAATTTGTTTTCATGAATGATTTTTTTAAATTGTATGAAGTAGTAACAATATTAATTTTTACAATGCCTTTTTTCCTTTTATATAATAAAAAATTATTACTAATATTTAATTTTCCCAGACGAAATTTCTGACTATAATAATATTAATATCATTTCTGATGGTGATATAAATGGCTTCATTATTACCACATTGATAAACGAATACTTTACATAATTTGCATTCGACATAAAATAAAAAGTCATTTTGCTCAAGAAGATTTGTTTCCAAGATCACAAAAAAGCAGAAAAATTAGGACTTGTCAACTTGCGAAGAAAAATTGAATAATAAATTTATGAATCAAGGTGATGTTGTAATCAAGTTATGTGGCATATAAGCTTTGAAATAACAAGGCCGTGCCAAGTTTTTATTGCAATAGATGTAATGTGATGTGATTTTATTCATATTGCCACGACGACAACACTACCATTTAATACTACTCTTCAACTACCTAAGAGTAGATTCTTGTATCTGTTGTGCGTGACAAATGTGAAATTAAATTAACCAATCAAAAGGAATTTCGCATCCAAGTACCTTCTCAATATTCACACATCTATTCGAAACTAACTTGATTCCACTCGGAACTAAATTTTCTTTCTTCCAGAAATCCTTCCATTTACATGACAATCAATTTAATTAACTGTTTCAAAAGTGTTAACGTCAATATAAAATAAAACAATGATCTACAAGTTTTTTCAATACAGGATCAGCACGTAAATTTTGTGAAAAAAGTTTCCATAGCAGGTCTCTGTTTTTTTTATTTTCCATTAATCGTCATATAAACTTTGTGGAAGTAGAAATGGGACTACAGAATTTGCAGCAGTACAAAAATTTAAAATTAGAAAGATGTAAAACTAATGAAATCAGTAGGGCTGTTAATGGTCCAGACTGTAGATAGGATTTCTACCCGAATGAGGTTTATTCGAATTATTTGTTTTATTCGTTATGAATTTGCGTATTCAAATTGTATGAAAGTTCATTCGAATAAAACAAATAAAATGAGTCATTTGAAGAAACGAATAATTCAAAGTGTATCACGAATAATCCGAATAGAAATTCTAACTGTTTGTCATTCATAGGGACAATGAATAAATTTTGAATCAATATATATGTAAAACTGTTATATTCTTTTTGAAGTATATTAAATATTTGTGTCAATAAATAATATTTTAACAAATCAAATTGAAATAAATGTTTTTATGATTAAAAAAATCCAACGGTCTTTGATACCTAAAGAACAAGCCGACTCGGTCTGTGGTCCATTCAGTCTGGACGGGCCATTAACATCCCTATCGGTACTACTAATTCAACTAAGCCAAAATGAATTTAATAGAAGTAACGTAAAATAGCATTCAAACAATGGAAAATTGGTAATTATTTCATTAATGAGAAATGTTTATATTTATCCTGACAAATTGAGAATAATAAAAATTAGTAATTAGTGATAAAACTTCTACTTTAAAACTCCTTTCGTTAGGAAAACTAAATCAAAATATGGGAGCTACAAAAATATCCTATAGCTGGTTTTGAATTTTTAGGTAGTATAGCTTCTGTGATAAAACAATCACTATTAGAAGAATTAGATTTTCACTCTAATGATTGATTGATGAAATTAATAATAATACACCAATTATGAGATATTTGAGCATGATTAACCTAGACTCAACTGATAGAGGAAATATTTACAGCATATCATATCATTTTGTAACTCAAATAAGATATCCCATAACAATATAATTCATTTGGAAGTGGTGTTGCAGCAAGGTTCAAAAAAATCAATCCATTCATGCATGTCATCAAATCATTGTGTATCACATAGACTTTATTTAGCAGGAAAAGATGCTTCTGATAAAGTAACATTTCCAAAAATATGAAAAAACATCACATAATTTATATGGATGTTCTTCTAGATCTTCTAGATCACATAATAGACAAGATATTTTAAAATTAATGCGGGCAATTGATCATTTTCTAAATTATTTAAATACTTTGCTTATGATTTTTTTTTATATTATTGATTAGTTATTGTGTAAACATTAGGAAATCAATCATTGAATTCATGTGACATTTGATGGTTATCATTTCGAATGCTGCAAATAAATTTATATCAAATTATGAACTCTGTACTTGGTGCTATAAATGATGATATGGCAAATGTTGATAAGCAAACAGGATTTTTATTGAATCAATTAGATCAAAATATACATGTTGTCAAAACTTTGACTCAATTCTCAATTTAATTGTATCTGACTCAATTATTTATATGTCTTTCATATGACTTAATTAATTGCATCAAAAAGTCACCTGATCAACCTATTTCTACCACATGTATAGATCAGAATTTATTTCTGCAACAATATCTCTTGCTAATTTAAAAAAATTAATCTACATGTTTCAATTAGAATATTAAAATTTAAATTAGACCTTGACAACACAATCAAGATACAACCTCTGAACTTATAGGTTATGAAGATGTTCTACCAAATTATTGTGTAAATATTTAGATAAACATAATCAGTTAATACCTTATTTTTCAAAGAATTCTCATTGGCAATAATAGAGTCAATCCCACAAACATGCAGAATTGGACTTTATTCAATTGTGGAAACAAAGTTTAGATAACAATAAAATTTTTTCTTTTAATTATCATTTATTCTTAAAATAGCACTAGTTATGCCTCAAGCAGAAAGAATATTGATACTTTCAATGAATATGATTAAATGGAAGATTATGGTTTTAAAAAAGCATATTTGGGGAGGACCCTGGACAATTATAATTGAGGTCATAGGTACTATGCTGTAAAACTTTACACAATATCTATCATGTGATTTACCAAAGCAAATACCCTCAAGACCATACTAAAAAAAGTTTCTTTATAGAGATAAATCTTTTGACACCCAAATTCCATAATGCTGATGGCCAGAACTTGAGATAAAGCCCTGTTATACAGAGGAAAAATGTCCAAATGTTGTTCAATATGATTCAAAAAAATTTCCGCATCAAAACATAGTACCTATGACCTTGATTATAATTGCCTGGAGTCCTATTGGGGGCTTTTCAATAGCAATTGCATTAATGTGGTTACACGTCAAAATCAGACGATCAACACATGGATTTTTAACTGTTTTGATATGTGTAACCTCCTCCTAAATGATGTTTTGAAAACAATAGTAAATTACTTGAAATGTAAACTTTTTATCAAAACATTATTTTCACAACATAGTCCGTTTCTATTGAAAAGCCCCATATGATCAGTGGAGAAATAAGAAAACAAGAAGGGTATATATAAGTTTTAAAAAAACCATTATATTAAGTTTATTGTGCTTTATAATGTAATTAAATTATTAAAATAAAAACAAAAACGGTTTTATTATGTATACGTTGGAAAATGATCTGTAAGAATTCTAATTCCGCCCAAGTCGAATTAGCCAAAATTACTCGTGATGACGTTAATATAGTAATAAATCTAACAAATGCCATCCAATCATTGTATGTAAATCCTTTCCATAGTAATTAAAAAAGTCCCTTAAAATAAACACATGAAAAGATGAAATTTTCCTAATTAGTAAAAGATATCAAGGGATTTTTTAAAATTGTGTTTTTTGATTTTTTTTTTGATTTTATATTTTTATTTCATCATTAAAATATAGTAAAATTGTTCACATTATTATATCACTGTACTTATTTATCATTATTCATTATCCATTATATTTAATAGAAAATAATTTCAAAAAAAATTCTTTCCTGAATTTAGTATTAGAATAGAAACTACAATCTGAATTTGGCATTGATATAGAAGAATTCCTCAGATATAGAGATACTGGTTAAACAAAAATAGCATCATCATCTGTATGTAACATCATCACATTTACACTTGACATTTTCTAATCATAATACAAAAAATATTCAACCAACCACCAATCGAATTTATTTATTTTTTTATAAATTTTTTATCTTTTTAAATAATTTCCCATGACCAAAAAAAGTTCTTTTCTGATATATAAATAATATAAATACAAATATAAATATAAAATATAAAATATAATAGAAAATATATAATACAATAGTTAATATTATAATATATAAAATCATAATATTTCTCATAGATGAAACGAATAAATATGCTTCAATTTAATGGAAATTTTATGAGACCAATAGAATCATCTCATACTCCGCTTGTTGCTGCTACTACTATTACTACAGGTAGGTTCCTATATATAGTATGATTTATAGAGAAAAAATAAAACACGAGAAATTTGCGTGTCTAAAGTAGGAAATTTTGAACGTGTTTGATAAAATAGAGGGAAATAGAAAAAATTTTTATATTTAATTAATTAATGTATGTATGTATGACAATCAATCAATCAACACCTTGCCTTCTTTATCAATCAGGACCTTCTTCTGATAATCCACCACAATCATCGACATCAACATCAACATCAACATCAACAACATCGACTCATCATCACCATCAACATCAAATTTTTTCACCAACAACAACTCCCTCATCACCACCCCCACCACCATCATCAATTGCTGCCACTCCTTGCTTTGATTATCTCCCTATTCATCCTCTTCCTCTCACCCACCCTGATAATATCAATACCAATGCTCCCACAAATGTTACAACAATTACACATGATGAATTGGATATCCCAGAATTTAAACAATATGATAAAGAAAAATATGAAAGTGCTAAATCTGGTAATAATCGTAGGAGACGAAAATCAACGCGTGAAGAGTGTGATACTTCTTCTTCTCTGGATGGTTATGAAGAAGAGTATGCTAACGCTAATGGTAATAATGGTAATAGGTATGTATGATTTCTATTGTTATGTGTAAGGTTGACCGGTCGTTAATATTATTTGATTTGCCATATCAATCTAACATGCACAACATAGTTCATTATCACATGCTGAAGTTCGTCGTCGAATGCATATTCAATCCGAACAGAAAAGACGCGCAGAGATCAAAGATGGGTTTGAAGATCTTAGACGGCAATTACCCATCTCTAATCACAGTCGTAAAATGAGTAAAGCAATGTTACTTCAAAAAAGTAAATTTAATCAAAATTTTATGTTAAATTTGGATTTGGATTTATTATTAAAAATATTATTTAATTTTTTTTATATTTCTTTAGCTGTTTCACATATTAAGAATATGAAATCTAAAGAATGTTACCTCATAGAAGAAATCAACCGTCTTAATCAATACATTAGTTATCTGGCTTCAGAGCTTGATCGAGAAAAAAGGTTTACATTTTGTAGATTATTTATGAGAGTTTGCATTATTTTTTACACATTTAGCAATTATCCACATTAATATTTATAATTATCATGTATAGAATGAATGTTATACATCAACAAAAAGAAACACTTGATAAGCTTTATCAGATTGGATTATAAATCAACCTAATAATCACCTAATCATTTACTTAATCGATTAACTAATAATCACTTAATCAATCAATAAATTAATCATCTCATAATCAATCATTAATTTCTTTTCTTTAAATTTTTCCTAATTGTGAATATAAATTATATATATATATATATTTTCTTTCAAATTCTATTAATTTGATTGATTTTTTTTTAAAAATAATTTAAATATTTTCAAAAACAAAAAGTAAGTATTTCTTTTTTAATTTCACAAAAATATATTATATATGTCGTTTTGGTTTAGATTCAAAATAATATATACACATAATAATATATTAACATATAAATCCAATTAAGATTTTTTTCATATATAGAGATTCCAATTCATTTTTTTTTAAAAATTGTTTACTATAACAAATTTATAAGTTATACATAAGTTAAATACCTAATCACAACTACAAACATCATCTACACTAATAAAAAACAAAACCTACATGTAAAAAATTTGCATAATGAATTTTATAATAAATATATTACTAATAACAAATCTTATGATTTTTATTTATTGATTTATTTATTTATTTATTTATAAAAATATTTTTAACTATTCACGTATCATATAAATAAATCAAGAAAAAGGTTATATATATATTTTTTTTTTTTTAAGATCATGCTTTAATATTTTTATATTAATGATGATGAAGATGTTTTTGTTCAAACCTTATTCCACCTATAATGTTAAATAAATAAATAAATGAATAAACAAATATGTATCCACCCCACGCAAATAATATTACTTAATCATAACTTACAATAACCACATGCATGAGACCCTGGTTGATCCTATTTATATTAAGGGAATTAGTAATCATTATTTATTATCTTCAATTTTATTTATTTATTCAATTAACTTACCAAATTTATGTAAACTTGCGGATGACCTAAATTTCCATCGCCTAGTCAAAATAAGAATAAATATAATCATCAAATTGGCTACATTATTGATAATAAATGATATTTATAATGATATTAATAATATATATAATCCAAATTACCTCCATGACAAACAGCAATTCTTCCTTCTACATAATGAATTGGTTCTTCTCCAATTAATTCAATTGCTGATAACGGTCTTGGCTTTATAAAATATCATAAAGATAATAACGATAATTAGAATAAAAATTTATTTGTTTATTTGAACATTTCTAAAATAATTTAGCTAGTATTTCATTACTTGTGCATCAAGATCAGTTTGTTCAAAACGAGGTCCAACTAAAGCATCTTTTCTAGGTCTTTGACTTTTTGACCAAGTGACATCTCGATTAACTGACTGTTTATAAATTTCAGTAATTTTTTTACTCTCTTCTAAATTATTATTATTAGCAACAACAGAAGAACCATTATTATTATTGTCTTTATCTACTACTTTTTTCGTTATTGTAGTTGATGAAAATTTATATTTTTGTATGATTGAAAAAGAATATCTAATTGTTGGAGAATTTCTTTGCAATAAAATTCCACGATTTAGTAATGAATTGTAGGAAGAAAGTGAAGAAGAGGTAAAATACCGTAGGCGAACCATTTCTTTTTTATTTTTATCCCAAAAATTTTTTTTGATTTTTATTTAGTGACACTAAAATTTTCCGTACTAACCAAATTAGTAAAACACATGATGATTTATCCTTTTTTGAAAAAAATCTTTCGCGTTTTTTTTTTGAGAGCTTTTTCAAAAATCCAATAAAAAATATGGATAATGATAAATTTAAATTGGCAGTAAAACTTATATCTTTTCTGGAACAAATAGGCTATCCTAATGCTTCTTCACTACTACCAGAACAAATATTATGGGCATTTGATCAAAGTGAGGCATATTCTTTATTTGAATGGTTATGTGAAAATATCGATGTGGAACAAAATGTTATTTATAATGAACTAAGAACCATGTAAATTTTCAATTTTTATTTTGTAAAAATTAATTGATCAATTATTTATTATCTTAATTCGTTTTCTTTAGAAATCAACAAAATTTAGAAAAATTGCGGTATATTATTACATATTACACAAATAAATCAATATACTTAATATACTTTGTCATAAATTTTAATATAATCGATTATATAATCATATAGAAAAGAAAATGAGAACATCGAAAATGATATTAATAATATGAAAAAAACTCATGAACGTGTAACAATACAAAAAGAACAACTTGGGTATATATATATATGTTTTAATAAAAATTATTTTATTCTAATTAGATTAAAATAATACATAGTAAAACATTAGAAGATCTTGAAAAAGAATTAGTAGAATTGAATAAGATAAATGATGAATTATATATAGAAAATAAAAAAGTTGATGAAATGATTGAAAAGGAATCTGTAAAGGTTTGTTGGTGTTAGATTATTTTAACTTTTTATAGAAAATCATTAGTGATCAAGTCAAAGATAATTCATTAATAGTTTATAAATAATAACAATCATTAAATAGTTGGATGTAAATACTGTAAATATGATTGATTCAGCAAAAGATATAATATCAGAAAGACCAGGGAAATCAAATAAAGGCAAATACATTGGTTCATATATATATATATATATATATATAATATAATTATTACTTTATTATATTCACGTTATTAATATTATTATTATTACAGAAAAACAGCATATTAAAAAATTTTTATATCAATGTGAAGATGAATTAAAAGAAATAATTGATGCAGATCAAACATTATCGCAAGAACTTGAACAAATCCGTCGATCGATCTTTTCACTGGTAATTATTATTTATCATTCATTAGAAAAAAATTATACCGTATAATATTAAACTATGAATGATTTATGTATGTATAGAATGTAGGCACAACAACACCTGATAATAATGATAACTATTATCTAACAGATGAAATCAATCATCTCAGAAATTCGTAAGTTTAATAATTTTTTCATTCTAAATTAATATAAATAATTATTAATTTATTATTTGATAATATTTAATAGAATTGTTAAAGAAGAGCATAAAAATTATGTAGCAATTGCAGAATTTGAATACATGAAGAAATATTTACAAGCGTTAGAGAGTGAATATATGAATTTAAATTCTTTACAATTTGATCCAAACATTTTAGAGTAAGAGTAGCGATTTTTTCTTTTAAAAAAGAATCACACACACATATATATATTCTTTACAAATATAAACCCTATTAAATTTAGTTCTGTTATCGAAGAAAATGCAAATAAAAAAATAATGATCGAACAACAATATAAAAAATTACTTTATTCAGAGATAGAAGAAAAGCTAAACATTCTTGCCAAAAAAGAAATAGAAGAACCTATATTAAAAGCTGGTTATAAAAATCAATCGGATAATCAATGTTTATTGATAGAAAAATTAAATTGGGTTTGTTGTTAATTTCTTTTGTGAAGAAGAAAAAAGTTATTAATAACATCTATTAAATTATATATATCGATGATTATGTTTTAGGTGATTGATCAATTATTATCGCAATATTCGATTTCACATTTTGTAACTGAAGCTTTTAATATCGAATTGAAAAATCAAAATGAAATTTACAATTCATTTTCTCGAATAAAAAATGAATTAGAAAATAGAGCTATTAATCATGAAAAAAGAATGGCAAGTATTATTATTTATTCATGTTGTTGTTATTATCCTAATTATATTATTATCATTATTATGGTTATGATTTTTTTTACAAAAAATAATAATTATTAAATAATTCACTCGTTCATATATTAGTCACTTATGTCAGCATCAGATTTTATAGAGCCTAGATTAGAAAAAAGAATATTAGAAAGCAATGATACTATGTTAATGTCAATTAAAAAATTGGTAAACCTAGGTGATGATGATGATCCAGGTATATTGTTTTCAAACATAGATCATATATATAATATAATAATTAACTTACTTTTTTCAAATTAAAAATCCAAATTAAAGATAATCAAACAACCTTAATTAATAATTTGAAAGAAAAAATCGTAAAGATTGAAGATATTAGAAACGATGAATTCCTTAGAATTGAAGAAGAATCAAAGGCACAACAAAATTTAGTGAAATCTTGGTTAATATATTAACATATATATATATATATATATATATATATATATATTCACTCTCAGAAAATCATTATTTTTTTATTATTTAAATCTTATTTTTATTACTTATTTATTTATTTACTTAGTCAAGAGATCGAAAAAGAATTAGATTTATTATTATATGATGAGTCGAAAACTTCTGAACTTATCTTAACACCAAGAGTTCGTGCATTATATTTTTTGTTTATTTATTGTTTATGTTATATATTAATAATATTTTGCATATATACATGTATATAGGAATTGTCAGATCTACAATATGACTTATGCAAGAAGGTTTCATCGTTACGACAAAAAATACTTCAATTAAAGAAACATTAAAATGTTTAAATTTATATATACAATATTAGAAACCACAAATATAATATTTTTTAAAAAATATTATATATTCTAAATAAACAAGCATTGAGTATTAAAGAGGTTTTTATCATCCCATTTTAATAAACCAACTATGAATCATCCCCGATTCGTACTGGATTGAGATGTAAAATTTTGAAGGCGCAACATTTTGATTAATTTGATCACTCAAACAGTTCATAAAATGAACGAAATAAACATTTTGACCTTTCCGTTAACCGATTGGAAGATTTAGCATAGCAAATAACTCTATGATGTTATCGTAAGCATTCGGTTGGTTCTTTTTTAAGCGGGGACAAATCAAGCTCATTTAAAGAAGGGTTCTTGAAAAAGTTAGGTCAATTAATTTTTGAAAATCATTTATGCGGGGCGAAAAAGTAAAGCGATTTTGTCCCATATTATCATTACTTGAATCAATGATTTGTTTCCCATATTTCGTTAATTGTTCTAACGAAATATTTGGAAAGTTAATTTTTAAAACTTCTCTTATTGTAGGTAGAGTGTAGTTTAATTCTTCTAAATATATTAAAGGAGGGAAATTTTAAAAAATTTGTATTAATAGTATATATACACGAAATTAAGTAAAAAAAAAATTTTCAGTTGCACATGCCGAGAATCGAACTCGGGTCTGCCGCGGTCCACATTAAATGGCAGGCGGCAATTATACCACTAAACCACATGTGCTATTGATTAGAATGTGATCAATATAATTGGTATATAAGGAAAAAATTTTTTAAGATTAAAACGGTTATTTACTATTGGTTGAAATTACAAAAATTGCACCCACATATTCCATTCCTAATCACCTTCAATTAGTTCGTTAATTATTGCTTTTATATATGATCAAGCTAAATCAATAAAGACATTGAATTTTTTATTTTGAGATCAAGTAATCCTATGCAATTTTTGGGGGATATTTATAAGAAAATTATATATGGAAAAACAAATCGAAAGAACCAAAACCATTCCAACCTAAGCTATAGACTCTCTCTATCTTGGGCTGATCTGAAGATATTGGAACGATATCTAGTACTCCAACAGTTGTAGTGGTTAGTTTTGGTATTCAGTTAAAATTATTAATCCTAGAATTATTAATAGTGATATTAAAAAGGTTCATTCACTATAGTAAATATTTTTTATAATTTGTTTTTATATCTAAATATTGACAATAATTAAAAAATAATATAAATGGTATACAATTCACTCTCCCTATAATAATAACGGACTGAGAATTTATATGGCCCCACGTATAAATCATTACTGATTCTCTCTACAATGGACATTTTTTCATAAGCTAAATGGTCTGTCATAGAGAGAGTGAACTGTATTATATGAAGTTGATTTACATTTGCATTAGATCCACTGTGGAACTCAAAATTACAGTAATGTCAGAAGTATTTTAAAAAGAGAGCAAGATGCACCTTGTGTTTCCAAGATGAATGATATCAAACTTACAAGAATATTTAGATATACCTATGAAGTTTACCAAGAAGAATGAAAATCATCATAACTGATAAAATGATAGTATTAACATGAAACCATAAGTTAATTGTCAGCATTATCTGGTTTTTGGATAAGTAATATATTTGAATTCATCTCTGACGAATGGATAAATATTATTATAAAGGCATTCTTGACACTCGAAACCTAGAGGAGCAGGCTTCAATATTGGAAATAATACCCCTTTGATAGCTTTGGAAAGTTCCGTTTTCATAGTTTGAATTCGTGGAAAGGTTTTTGTTCAATCGTATCTAAAGAAAAAAGTTTTATTATGGGGCGTCATAGACCAAAGAAATTTGTTTTTGCTCTACCATTCTTGATCTTAGTAAAGTATTCATTATTATTTGTTTATGAATTATATTACGACCAAAATTTTACGGTATGTAAACTTGAAAATAACAGAATTTATAATGAATATAAAATTATTATTAATATACAACTAATACAACAACACTGCTATTTCTTTCCCACCACCACCACCACTTTAGTAGTAGATTAATTAGCTCAAGACAAGACTTCAAAATCAAACCATCAAAAACTTCAGACTAAAGCTATTTTTTCCTCGTTTCTCTTTATATTTCTAATTACACGACACACTCAATTTAATCTCAATGTAAAGGACTTCTCCGACAAGTTTGAATTAATCAAAAAAAAAAAAAAAAAAATTTAACTTTGAATATAATATAAAAAATGCATTATTCTTTACTTAATCTCTCAAAGTCATAATCGTCTCGAATAGAAGATTATATAACCCATTCGCTTGATCTGTTAGGAACAAAACCTAGGAATTACTATACTATTATTGACATTAGTATTGTGATTGATGATGAGTAAAATTGAGGTTGGAATAAAATCCATTTTGCACGTCATTTTTACTATAATTCATAATCACGATCGATCCATTCACAAACTCAAAAGCAAACCATTATTCTTTGTATAGAAGCCCATACATTTTACAGCGATTCAATCTTTGAAGCAATCCACCTAGGGAGGCTAGAATTCCAAACAGAAGACTATGATTAATTTGTGATGCACGTAACCAATAATTAAACAAACATTAAGTTTCCGAAAAATGGGAACCGCAATTAATTGAGGAGAAGGTGATTAGCATTCAAACAAGAACACAAATATGTGAAAGGATAGATAAAAAGATGAATTGTCAGTTGACATTGAAAACAGCTAATACTAATTCAATTTAACTTTACATTTATTATATTAAAAGAAAAATCTACATGTAATTATATCATTAACAATTTTTTAATAACAAGTTAAATAAATAAATAAAATTTAATCCAAATTGAATGTAACTAATACTAAATCTATTAATTACATGATAATACTAATACATGAATCATAATACTAATAAATAAATAAAAAAGAAAAAATTGCGCCATGCCAAAGAAATTTGTGTGGGTGGTTTCTTGAGAAGCGGACTAAATCAGATATTAAAAAATAAATAAATAAATAAAAAAACTAATACTAAAGCTACTACTACCAATAATCCTATTACTAAAAAGCCAATAATAATAACAATAATAATAAAAATCCGATCTAGCCTGCTTCACCACCAATTCCCCGTCGAGTCCGTACCGTACCCTAGGTCTTCTGCCTTCCATGACAAATGAGTAAAAGAACTAATGAAAAATTAAAACGAGTTAATGATAATTACGATGAAGGATAATAAATCCAAAATCATAATTTTATAATCAATCCTAAAATAAGTATCGAATCAATTTGTTACCGACTATCTGGATAAATTGACAAACACCAAAAATCCAAAATTGCTTCTCAACTTTTGTTTTCCTCCAACAAATATTATCCCTCCTCTGATGCGTTCGTAATAAAAAAATGTTGCCCAACTATAAAATTAATATTTATCATGATAATTAATATGGTGTTTGAATTAATCAATTAATTATCAATTATCACTTAATTGATTATTTACCTAACACTTATTAAGCCAGCGTGATCTTGAATAAATGAAAGTAAAAAGCTTGGGTATATATATATGGTGACGAATATGGGGTAGTAATAAAGCTAAGCTAAAGCTAAACTAAAACTAAACTATGGCTAAAATAAAGCTAAAATTAAAACTAAACTAAGATAAAAGAAAGCTAAACTAAGGCTACGATGAAGCTAAATAAAACCAAACCAAGGCTAAGAAAAAGCTAAACTAAAACTAAATTAAAACTAAATTAAAACTAAACTATGGCTAAATTATGGCTAAATTAAGACTAAAATAAAGCTAAACTAGAGTTAAACTAAAACTAAAAGCTAAACTAAAATCGAAGGAGTGTGTAAAGGAGTCGATGAAAACGAACCCGCCTAAATAATATGTGTGTGTGTAAATTAAGTATAATATATTAATATCAATATCATGTGAGCAAATTATTATTTCTTCAAGAATTAAATATTTAGAATTACACGTACTCATTACTTTCAAAAAACTTGCACAAACCGATCCACAATTCCAGATAGTATAACCCCACCTATTGTAAATATAAATATTCAATAAATGATAAAAATCATATATCCGTCCATATAATTAATTATTGTGATAAGACTTACTGCCGTGTGGAATAAAAATAAGCCAACACATTAAGTAAGTGTCTGATCCTATTTTAGTCAAAGCCGGGCAACGTCCCGCACAAGGCTCATCACGAGCTAGCTTGCAAGCAAAATAACCTAATAAGCTCGCAGGCTTAATAAGTTATCTGGCTCACAAGCCAGATCGTGAGGAACAATCCTGTTCAAGACAAAAACGCATCAGGAGAGAAGGATTGAGGGATGGAGGAAAAATGAACGCATGAATAGCCTCATCGACAGTAGAGTTGGGTGATTTACTTCATTTGTTCTTTTATTAAAAGAAAACAATAATAAATATTTATCATGTTTAAATAAGTTAAAGCGAGTTTATTTTTATAAAATTTATTACAAATTCCCAAAAATGGGTAATCTTATATTATTATTATTAAAATAAAATATTGCAGATACAATAAATAAATATTGTAACTACAAATATAAATATAATAATAATAACAATAATAGGGAGGGAAGGACTTTGTCGTCGTCGAAGGATAGAATGGATGTTGCTGGGGAGCTGGGGAAGGATTTTGTTTATTGTTGAAGAATGGAAATCCTCGCTTGCTGTTTACTTTCTTGGGAGAGAGAGGGAAGGGAAACCTAGGTTTATATATTTTATTTTCGATTGTTATTGTTATGATCTGTGTGTCAAACTTTATGTTTTTCGCGTTTAAGGAGAGACTGTGTTTTAAAGAAAATCTCTCCAAATTTGGTCATTGCGGCATGTACAAATTGATAGTGATAGTTGCAACTTCAACAGGGAGAAAGATCGTACCTTTATTCCTTTATTCCGGGGTAGAGCTTGGCCTTTAGGAAATCGTGTTATTTATTATTATTGCATTGCAAATCCTTGACCTTTTAAAGGGTAGTATATGTAACACGAAATTGATAATTTTTTGGTTTTCATATTCGTTAATCATGGAATTGATATCGTAATGCTTTCCTGGTATATAATAGAATGATAACAAATGATTTTGGGTGTATTTTGATGTATCAGTAGGCGTTATAATGAAAAGCTATGCTGGAAACCCCTTCTAAACTAGTTTCAAAATTTTGAAGGGTTCTAAACTCTAATTAAATTTGTTTCAAAGAGTTTCGAAACTTTAAACCTAATTTTTTGAGTTTCAAAAGGCAACCAACTAATTCTAATACAAATAATAATGATATACTGATTTGAAAGATGAAAAGATTTAAGAAATTCTATCAGACAAACCTTTGTTGATCATCTACAATGTATTGAATAGAAGTTTTTCTTAGCCTTGAGATCATTCTTACAACAAATGCATACATATTGAAATGTTTTTCTTTTATAATTTAAAAAAAGTTCACATGTATATGGTATGAAATTGCCTTATCATAAAAAACATTTTTGCAATTTCTATCATTGATTATTGTTAGTTAATAAAATGCAAGCAAAGAATTGTATCAAAAGAACGAACCATTTTAGTGTTCCATGTCGCAATCCAAAAAAGGAAACCAAAGTGGTCGCAAAGGTGGTTGCAACCAGGTGTCGAAAAGCATTTTTATATGTCGCAAATATGGTTGCAACCATCACCAAGAATTGCGACCAGCATCTATAAACCATTTTAAATTCAATTATTGAACTTCAGCCTCAAAAGCTTCTAGCCAAACTTCATAAGAAAACATCTATAAATTTTAAATTAAGAACATGTAAAACTATATTTTAATTAAAAAAACAAAGAAAGCATAATTTTATTACCTTTCTATACACATTTTTATTTCTTTGAGTGCATCAGAAGCAGATGGTCTTTTCCCTGGATTATCTTTACGCAAATTTCAGAAATTTCTTGAGGCATGTCTTGATACCCAACGCTCCATATGTCAACGTCTTCCTAATAACATTTCTGGAGCATGCTTACTTTCTGTGACATCAGATAAAGCAACTTCCGAAAGAGAAACTGTGGCATTATCAAAAGTCAATTAAGATATATTTGTCATCATACTAAATTATATTGGCCACCGAACATTCCTATACATAATTGCTTAAGGCTTAATTTCATATAAATCCTGTTTATAAATGCACACATATAAGTTATATAGGTCGCAGCAGTTGTTTAACATTATTTGAAATTCAAATGGTTCCAAATAAACACAATAAGTGAACAACCTCTTCAGTTTGTCTGTACATTTAACTGTTGTCACCTAATACATATTATATACTGTTATATGTTATCTTTAGAAAAAATACCAATATAGAATTTCAACTTGCTTTTATGATTTCATAAATTTTTTCAAGTGTTCAACTTGTTCTTTTGTTTTAAACCTTTTCTTAACAAATTCTGGACAGATATCAATAATGGTGCCATTAAGATGTTTTAATGAAGCTTTGGAGTTGATCGTGAAGGTCATACATAATCCTACCATCCTAGGTAATATTCTAAATAATAAGTCTTTATTTTCAAGTAAAAGAAGGTACTTACAGATGTTTTGGATAAAATTCATAACTTCAATTCTTTCTGATAACTTGTCCAAATCTAAATGTTCTTTACCAATTTCTCACTCAGAATAATACAAAGCAATAAAATTGATACTACAACCCATCGAATAATATCCAAGAACATAGGTGTATTTCCATAATTCCAAACAGTAAATTTATTAATTGATTCATCTTGAGGATTATTTGTTTTTGTTATTCCCTTTTCCACCCTATGAAAAACACAATAATTCTTTACTAGCAAGACAAAGTCTGGACAGACAAAGCCTATAAACATTTTTTAGTATTAATGTACTATATTCATTCCCTAATTACTCAAGAAATTTACCTGTAGTTAACTGGACGTTCATTAGTATCATTTATGGTCAATACTCATAGAACTTAACCTTTCAACAAATTGACCAAAAGTTTCAAATAATTTCCTGATAGCATTATTCCAAAAATCATAAATGAGTCTTCATTACTGTTATGCCTGAAAAGAGAAATTAAACGACTAATAAATTTAAATAAAGTGCTTTACATTCCTCTTTGTGCTTTGCATAAAATAATTAATAAAACTATTTCCCTTCAAACTAAATTGCTCCACAGTGGAAAACAAACAGGAGAAAGTGGTATTTTAACAAGATGTAGCTCTCTAAGAAAAAGAATCAAGTTCATCTATTCCAGGCAGTTTCACCTGGGCATTGGGTTATCTTTATAAGACTTCTCTAAAATAATATAAGAACTTAATAAAAACGTACAAGGAATTAATATTTAGAGGTTAAATAGAAATATAAATAAAGAGACAGTGTTTTAAAGCCACCTTTCAGCAGAATTACAAAGAAAAGAAAACAATACGTTAAAATTAATGTAAGTAAAATTGTAGTGTTGAAGTAAATTCAGAGGAACAAAACTATACTCGCCTTATTCATCAAAGGATAAATAATAGTCATAATATTATGACAAAAAGGGTGATAACGAGTTAAAAGAGTGTAGAAGGGAAAAAAGCACAAAATGGGATAGAAAGTAACCTTACAAGAAGATGGAGGAAAGGTAGTATGGATAAAAAGTAAATTTAAAAACTTGTTACGCTTTGCTATCTCAACAGATGGATGAATTAACAAGATGAGGCATTACTCTATCTCAAATGGATTAATTGATGGATACTGAAGACTGGTGAACGGATGGATAAAATGCACGTAATATCCACAACATCCGCTCATCAACTATCCTACCTGATTCTTTTAATAAACTAAGTAAATAATCCTTGGCAACAACTTTTGTAAATAGTCAGACAGCGAGTTTTGCCATTTTCATCCAAGATCATTCACCAATTTGATCACATGTTTTTCGAGAGAAAAAAACAATTGCAATATAGAACTCACATTACTTCTGTACGTCCAATGACGTTTCAGTTGCTGCATTAAGATCTGCTATATAAATAATCATTATGACGGTTGCAACCAGTGATGACTGGCGGTTTTACCTACCTATTGAGTTTTTGAACAAACCAAACATACTATCACACTGCCATAAAGAAAAGCTTCTTGTATAAACTACCATTCAAGAGACGCGTTTTATATGTTTTAAATAGATCTTTTTTTTTACTTGATTGGTATCAAAAAGGCGAGTTTGATAGACAAGTCAATTACACAGTCATAATACGTGTTTAACAACCAACCATTCATAACTCTGGCCTATGTTTGATGAATCGAGAGTTTATTATAAAAACAGTACCAATTCACTTACTTCCAGGCAAAAAAATCAAACCAAAAATATATCAATAATTATTGTTAAAACAACTTATTTTATTTAAAAAACAAAAAAATTTATTAGTACCTTCGCTTTTAATCAATTTAGCTTTATATTTGTGCTCAAGGAATGAAAATATCAGAAAATAAATAGGGTTAATATCTATCTCTGAATTTGTTGTGGTATTATGTCCACTTTGTCTGGTTTTGCAGTATGTCTCGTATTACGAACGACATAATAAAAGTGAACCTCTACAATTATATAAATAATTAGGCAAAAGTAAGTTAAAAATAAATAGAGAAGATTATTGAAACCTTTTCAAATAGCTGAAATAGAGGATATAGAAAATGAAAGTCTAGAAAAATTATTTCTAATTATCAGTAGAAAAAGAAATAGAAAAAAAAGAATATGGAAATCATAGTTGAAGTAGGAACAGATAAAGATGATTGAAAAGAAAAACTTATTTAATCAATTGAGAATAGGGAAAGAGATAACACAATAATTAAAATCACTGAAGACTGAACAGGTCGAGGAAGCAAAGTTAGAAGCTAAAACTCATTTGAAATTCCTGGAAGTAGCCCAAGAGTGAAGAGAATGACAATTAGCTGAAAAATTAGAGCGATTAGAGATAGCTAAATAAATCAACAAGTCCAAGAAATTCAGGAAACAAGAATTATATTTAACCAATAAGTCTTTACCAGAATTACCAAGAAAAAAGAACAAATCAAGGAAGCCAAGCCAATTCTTTTTTATCAACCTCTTTAATCTTTAAAATATAATATACACACACTCATCTATATTATTTAATGCTGATAGTTCTTTATAGTGTGAGGTCACAATAATATCTTTAATTGTTTAAGTTTTGATTAAAGTTTTTAAGCGTTAAAAATGGTTGTCAAAATATTAAGCGTTAATAGTTATCACTGATTAACCACCTATATAAAGAGCTAACGGTTATTGACCAAAGTAGCAAAGCATAAGGCTGTTTGAATAAAACGGTCAACGTTATTGTTTTTATTTTATTATTGTATAGTAACATTAAACACACGACTGTTAAACGGACTGCTAAAGGTATCTGTAAATAAAGCCTGCAATCGGCCAATAGTGTAGAACCAGCTGAAATAAATCGGTACTCAAGTACATAAAATAGGAACTCTATAGTGACATTTGTCGCCACATAGAAGGCTGCCTTTATTTATTTATTGTTATTCGTCGTACCATAAATTGTGCTTGCAGATTCGCCGAATCTTTCTAGGTACAAGAAAGAGAAAGTGAGCAAGAGAGTTGTTCAATAAGCTCGCAATATAAATTAATTAACGGACATAAAATACGAAGAACCTGCAGTTAATCTACGAGTGTAGCTAAAAGGTTAATTGAACTCGGTCATGTAAGTGAAATAATCGAAGGTAATCGAAGAGCCACTTTACAGTTTTGTGTTAATGTTCTTTTATTGATTATTCTTTCTAGGTGAACTTTATAGGTGATTTCTCTTTTCTTAGATAATCTTCAAGTATCCGAGTATCAGTCAATTTGATAACATAATAATAAGGAACAAGCTTTCTCCCTTGTTCTTTTTTTAAAATGGACCTGATGTAAACTAATTTCATATTAATTATTTTTATATGAGGTACTAAAATATTGGTAGTACAATTATGTTTTATTTGATCCCTGAAATTTCATTGTGAGCTTTGTTTGTTGCATAATAATAATAATAATCATAAAACCTGTGTTACCTATTGAGAGCATAATCATGCATTGTATACTTTAAAATGATTCACACTGATAAATTTCATCAATAATTTAATATTATTATTACTCTCACAAATGAAGTTTAAAGATACTAAACCTAATAGTCCATGTTGATGACTATTTTGAGAACCAATTAATTTTATCATAAACCACCAAGTGGTCGGATGAAGTAAAGTCAACTTAAAAGAAATCGAAATCAATATTAATTTTCTCGATTCATCAAATTTCTTGTTTACATTCTTGTCTAAAAGAACTTTCATTTAGGCATTTAAAATTTAGAAATCTGCTTAACATCATGTTTTTCTAAAAATATAAGAGGAGGGGGAGTAAAAATTTAAACGATATAGTTGACGCTTGATATAGTGAAATCGCTATATAAAGAAGCTCCATTTTTTATCATACAAAATGTTTATAATGAATCTTACCATATACAGTTTGTAATACTTCATTATATCGAGCGCCAGCTGTTGTGTGCGAAAGTTCAATGGGAGGTACTAACCAAAGTTAGTAAATTTAGCAAATATTACCAAGTTTGTATGTATGAGTTAAACTTCGAATTCGAACAAATTGATCTACATTGCCTTTTTTAAAAAATTTCAGGTGATCAAAATTTTGAAAAAATGAGAGGGGGGTTTAATGTTAAACTTTAAAAGTTTTTTTTGAATATGTTCTAATACAATAATAAAAATGCAGTAATTATTATATCATTTTATATATATATTTACAAAAGTAGTCACAAATGAATTTCGTAATTTTTCACAATTTTTTTTTCATAAAATTTTTTTCATAAAAAAATAAAAAATTAATAATGAATGGCTCAAGTACAACTACACTTACAGTACTTACCCTAAATTGCTGGTATTTTTTTAAGGATTTTTTAGCCTCATTATTTTATCAAATTTAATAATATATTTTTTCAATGTAAAAAAAAACCAATTTAGGGGATTGAAATTCATTTCTAAAATGCTTCAACAACGCATAGAAGCAATTGCAGATAAACTTTCACAATCAGATTATGAGATAGTTTGTCTGCAAGAAGTTTGGATTTATGAAAGTTATGAATTTATCCGTAATAAAACAAGAAAAAGATTTCCATACGCCAGATTTTATTCAAGGTATAAATCATAAATAAGATAAAAAAATATATATCTTGTTAGATTAGTTATAATTAATTGCTTATGTGATTTTCTTTTTGTTTTAATCATCTAAAAAAGTGGTATTTTTGGAAGTGGACTTGTAATTCTTTCACGTTATCCAATAGTTGAAGTAAATTTTTATAAATATCGATTAAATGGTCGTCCAATCAAAGTTCTACATGGTGATTGGTATTCGGGTAAAGGTGTTGCTAGTTCTGTTGTTGACCATCCTGTATCTGGGTTAATTGAAATATTTAACACTCATGTAAGTGTGTATATATATATATATATATATTCTCTATCATATATGCTTATTTGTGAATAAATATTAATTATATACTAATCATTTATATTTGCACGTTAAAAAAAGACACATGCAGGTTATGGACTCGACGGGGAATTGGTGGTGAAGCAGGCTAGATCGGATTTTTATTATTATTGTTATTATTATTGGCTTTTTAG